CCCGAAAAACTTTACTTATATCTTACAGTTCTTGGTAGCTTAACAGCCAATTTTTTTAGTAACAATCGTAATATTAATATTAATAATGAATTTCACAAATACTGTAAATTGCCAATTAACATTACTTTGACTGAACTAGTCAAGCTCACATTAATTTATTAATATATCATTCTACCAAATCAATCAAAATTTTTTAGCTAAGCTGACTAAGCTGATAAAATTCTATCGGCTTAGCTGGTCGAAAAATTTTGATCAGCCAGGATCACTAATCTGAACATGCTTCTATTCCTTTAGATCTTAATAATAAACAATCATTATATTGGTTATTAAAAGGTAAAGATATATCAAAAGAAAAAAATAATAAAGTTTGAGTTCCTTTAATTCCTAGATATACAATATTTACATTTTTTGCTAGGGTATATTTTCGATTAAATCTTGGATGGTGTTATACCAATCAAGAAATTTTATTTCAATGAACTGATTTTGGCAAAGATTCATTTTTTGCTAAACCTCAAACTTATGAATCACATTCTGATAACTTTTCAAGTTTTTATAAACATATTTAAAAAAAGTATAATTATACCGGTAAAATATCTGTTCTATATTTGTTAGGACTTACTTGCACTAAAAATATTATGTGGTTACGTGGTTTTATAGCTAGTTATTATAATATATTCGAGGATACTAGAGCACTTTTTCTTGTGAACAAAAAATTAAATAATATAATAAAATTAAAAAAAAAAAAAGCTGATGAGATTGATAAAGAGTTAGTGGATAGTTCTAATTCAATTATTTTTAAAGCTGGATTACCAATAAATTCTAAAGGATTAGATGTTAATAATCGTATTATTCAAGTAGTTACACTTCAATTAGAAGAATCTAATATTGAATTAAAAAATACAAGAAAAAATTTACATGAATCTCTTGAAACAATAAATAAACTTCATAAACAGCTTGAAGAAATTTCAAATTTAACAAGGTACATATAATAATTATGGTGAATTAAAATAAAATCAGATTAAAATAAAATTTTGTATAGTATAAACAAACAAGCTAATAAAAAATACAAGATTTTGAAATGTATTTTTTAAGCTTTTTTTTAGTATTAGAAATTAGCTTTGGGGGTAAATTTATATTAAACAAGTATAAATAGTTTTAGAAACCTTCAAATTTTATTTTAATCTAATTTTATTATAATCTACGACAATAATTTATAAAATTTATTAAAGCTATACTAATAGTCTATTAATACATAATTTATAGCGATAATGAAAGTACCAATAATTCAATAAATTCAGAATCTTTATCATGTATATTTGATGAACTTATCAGTAAAGGAAAACTTGGCTCATCAATTTTAGTTAATACGAAAGTTTATCTTGAATTAATAATAAACAAACCATGTTCTGTATGTAGTAAGAAAGATATTATAAATTACAAATATACAATTCAAGTATCTGAATTAAGTATATGTATTACTATTATATGTTTTAATTGTGGAACTCAAACTAATCATCATAATAAAGTTAATAGTATTAATTTTTCAAAAGCAATTTCAGCTGCAGGATTAGTAAGAGGTATAAATCAAGAAGAAGTTAGAACAATGCTTTCATTTATTGGAATAACATGTCAAAGTGGTATAAAGCAATATTTTCAGCACCAAGATCTTTTTTTAAATGAATTAGTTGAAACAGCTAATAAAAATGCTGAACAAAATTTGCGTAAAATATATAAACTAATTTAATCACAAAATAAACATATACTTAAATCTTCTTTTGATTGTTTGTGGAGTCATGTTCAGAAGGCAATGCAAGCAAGTGGTGAATTTGTATTTAATGGTAAACTTATAGGTAAGTTATTTATTTTTATATATATTATTTATACTCTACAAAATCTAATTACAGTTTGAGCTTCAAATCAAATATTTAATCAAATCAAATTTGATCAAATTTTTGATTAAATTTGACTTGATCAATATTTAATTTGAAACTCAAACTTTAATTAAATTTTGTGAAGCATTATATATTGTTAGAGATGATGCTAAAATTGGATGATACTGAAATTTAACTTATTTTATTATGAAAATTTTAAATTTTTTGAGATGTTTTGTTTAGCTTTTTTTTTTATAGTTCAATTAGAATTTAGAGTTAATGTTTATAATAAAAGAGTATAGACAGATTTTAGTAGGATTTATATTTTCAAATTAAGACCTCAAATTTCAGAATTATCTGATTTTAGCATTATCCCCAATGGTTCTACCACAAGATTTCGACATCCAAAATCTTGAAACCATAATCCTGATATGACAATTAACATTTAAAGATTAGTAATCACATTAACAATTATTGTCAGACTTTAAATTTAATTGTCACATTGCACAATGTTAGTATTATAGCTTGTTGAGATTTTGGATGTCAGGATTTTGTAGTTGAACTATCTCCAATATATATTATTTAAATAATATTGTAGATTTAATATTATTATAAATATTTATTTATAGAAACATCATACAAACCTATTATAGCATTTTACGTTAATGAAAAGCCAAAACAGTATGAAACCAAAAATGCAAAAATCATAACTATAAATGAAGAAAATTATGATAGTAGTTACAAACAAATAGAACATGCTATTCTAATTGCCATAATTGACAAAATTACACCTATTTTAGAAGAATATGATATTGTTTTAGATATTAGAATTGATGGTGATTTAGATAGTAACAAAGCATTAGCCAATCAAACTATTGTATATAAAATTTTTGAAGATCTAAAACATAAATCAAAGCTTATTAGAAATAAAATTGGTAAATATAAATTATAATTAGGTCGTTTGAATTTAAAAATTCGTTTAACATTCTCCTCCTTCTACCACTGGAGCTCTCCTTAACATTAAACAAGCCAATAGAAAACGAGTATAAAAAAATATATATATATCACAAAAAAAAAACTGGTATAAATGAACCCAAATCAGATACATTTTAAACCTAAATTTAGGTCTGTTTAATTTTAGTGTTTGTTTACCTCCTCTTCTCCCTTAAGCAAATATGAAAAAAAGGAATGTTAAACAAATTTTTAAATTCAAACAGCCTTATTAATAATTGTGGAGGCTGATGCTAAATTTAGATGATGCCAAAAATTGAAGACTCTTTTTAAATCTATAAAACCTACTAAAAATTTACATATACTTTTTATTAATAAATATTACTCTCTAACCCTAACCTAACTATGAAAAAAAACCACAAAAAAAACTCTAAAAATTCTTACAATTTTATAATAAAATATGAAAAATTTTCAGCATCATCCGATTTCAGCATCAGCCTCCACAATAATTATTCATAAATACTTACATTATTATTTCTGTTTTAGCAAATCATGTTCGTTAGAAATACTTTGAACAACCAATTATAAAATATTATCGCAAAGAGCATTTCTATTTGTATATAGTGTGTATATATATGGTTTATATAGAGAGCCAATCAGATTGCACAATCAAATATAATGTAAAATTATTGCTTTCTTCAAAATATTACTAATATCTCAAAATTTCGCTTATGAAACCACCTTTTGGATTCTAATAAAAAAAATTCTTTGCGAAATTTTGATATATGCTATAACCCGCCCAAATCCTAAATGCTTCTTTACCCTAACCCAAAGTAGGGGCTTAATTTTTCGTTTACAAAAGTTGTTTTGATTGGCATGTTATACAGATTTACAAATCAATACCCGTGTTCAAACACACCGTGTACAAATAGTAATTTTCTATCGCAAATGTATATATGCAGCAATTACACATACTTCTAATTCAGATTTGAAAAATCCAACTGATAATCAACTATTTGATATGCAAACTAAATTTGTAATTGAGCATTTACGTAATAAACATAATAATTGCTGGCCTGAAGTTTGTTGGATTGTAAAAAATTCAGATCTTGAACTTGGTGAACCAAATTTAACTATCTATAATAATATACAATGTAAATATTTAGAGAAGTTTTTATGAAAAATTATGAAATTACCTAATCAGCAAAGTCTTATTACAACAATTAGAACAAGTGCAAATGAATCATTTAATTATTTAAAATTAACTATACAGATAAAAAAACTGACTATCCAAAATCTTTTGTAGCCTGTCATGCACTAGCAGTATTGCATAATAATGTTGGTTTATTAGAAATGTTAAATATTGTTAGAAGTGCTGGTGATTTATGTGAATTTTCAGATTAAGATATATATAATATTAGTAAAATACAGAAACAAAGAGAATATCGACATATAGCAAATATAACCAAGATTAAAACTCGAAATCAAACTCGTGCTCAAAAAATAATAAATCAAAAGCATGTCTTGGTAGTTTTGATTTTGGGCAAGTAAGTAGTTTATATAACAAATACAGTTAAATCTCTCTATAGTCACACCTTCGAGATATATAAAACTATAATTATAAAAAGGTGACTAATATAGAGATATTTTCTATATAGTTATAAATAATTGGTAAAAATAAATTTGTGATTATATTAATTTTATAACTATGGAGAGGTTTAACTATGAATATATATAATGCTTTATAAAATTAAATTAAAGTTTAAACTTTAAATCAAATATTTAATCAAGTAAAATTTGTCAAATATTTGGTCAAATCAAATTCGATTAAATATTTGATCAAATTTGATTAAAATTGATTTAATATGTTTTTAAGTAGCTTTCTCAATATTAGTTAGATAGTGATTGAGATGGTGCTTAAATTATTGCAAATAATTAGTAGTTAATACAATTAATTGAAGAATAATTTTTAAAAAATTTATTGTATAAAATGCAGAATTCTAAATATATATACTAATTTACATTTAATAATAGGATTTGGTACCGTATAGTCAAATTATGCAACAAAGTTTAAAAAATGC